ACCTCCCATGAAGCTTTTTAAAAAACCATAACCCATAGGGAGTATTTATGAATCATATGCTGGCCACATGCCCGCTGCACATCATTCTCGCCACTAGATGGAGCCAAGGAGAACTGGAATTTTCTGTGCTCCTCAGCTCCATCTAGTGGTGAGAATGATGTGCGAACGGCATTCGTCCAGCATAAGACTGGACAAATAAATCATCCCCTATGGTATATATTAGGGATGCAACAATACTGATACTCGTACTCGCCCAAATGCTCTGATACCTTCTCTGATACCGGAATTTCCGGTCAGAGGAAGGTTTCCTCTGACCGGCAGTCCCGCAGGGGAACATACAGCCAGCTTCCCGTGCAAGTAATGACCCGGCTCCCTCATTGGCCGGAAAGCAGGCTCCTTGCTGATTGGCTGTGAAGCCAGCTTTCCAGCCAATCATCATGGAGCCAGCTTCCTGGCCAATCAGGAAGCCGGGAGGTGCGTCATTACTAGCCACCCGAGTTCCTGATTGCACGTTAAGCCGGCTAGATGCTGATTGGCTGGGAAGCCAGTTTCCCACCCAATCACAATCAAGCCGGGCCAAACAACATGGAGCTGGCTTCCCGGGTAATCAGAAAGCCGGGCGACATGTCATTACCCGGCGCCCGGCTTCCTGATTGCCTGGAAAGCTGGCTCCATGCCAGCGGAAGCACTGGTATTCGGTATCAGCGAGTACCGAAAGCAAAATATCGGTGCGTTTACTCGATACCAAAAAACCGGTATCGGTGCATCCCTAGTACATATGTTGGTACAATGAATGGCACTGCAAAGCACCACAAACATATTGGCATGCCTTGTGGTAATGTGTGTTTTTAAGCATATTGCCACAACGTACAAATGCGAATGGGCCCTCAATGTCCGAAAGTGAAGTCCCTTTAATTCTTTCCTTCTTCCCCCCCAAAAATCGCCCCCCCCCTCCCCTTTCCCTTGTTTTTCGGAATTGCTTCCTTGCAGCTGTTATTTCCCCGTTACGTTGCCGGCAATCTGGATCTCTCAGCCGATAAACTTTTGTGTAGAAGGCAGAAGTGGTAGCAGGGGAATCTGCCTATTTTCGGAGTCACGTACTTCCAGTTGAGAGATTAAAAAACATGTTACGTGCGCGGCGCGTTTTCGGCCCGCTGAGCCCGCGTCCATCTGTTTAGCCCTTACACGCGGCTGATTTGTAACTTGCTGTAGACCGTCTCTCCTCCTAACATTTCATAAAGCACCTCTATGCATTATTGAAGGACTTTGGGGAAATAAGACGGAGGAGGAAGACTCTCCTCGACACTTTTTCTTTTCCGCAATTGTCTTTGCTATCGCTAAAGAGAGGAGAAGTCGGGGAGCAGAGAGCCTTGAGGCCGCAACCCCCCCCTGTTCTGCAGCGATACCCAGAGGCGGCCTGGATGCTCAGCCAGGCTAGCAATGGCAATTAATCAGCTAGTGTGAGCGTGTGCGGCAAATCGCTTGCTTGGCTTCTATTCCCCTCCTCCCTTCCCCCGAGCGGCTCCTCTGGGGAACGGGCGCCCCTTGCCACGAGCCGGGTGCCAGCTGTGTTTGGACCTAAATTCTGCCTGCTAATTAAAATGGTCAGGATTTAAACCTGCAGCCTGCGAAGAGAACGCGGCGGGGAAGCTGCTGGCTCCCGGCATCCAGCCATTAGCAGCCAATTTTACACCTCGGTGTCAGCTTCATCAGTTTAACCCCTTGAAGTAGACGTGAACCCTGTCTGGATGACTTAGGCATATTTATAAAGCAGTTCACTGCAGGTGAATCTTCCCGGTGCATGCGTTTTAACATTATAGGGCTTGATTCTCCACCAGAGAATGTTTGGTGAAAGTCTTACTGATGTATAAATAGACATCTTTGTACTTTGCACTGTGTATTATAAACAACTGCTACTGTTTTCACCGTTTTTCATCCTTCTACCCCTTCTCTGGCCTCTTTCAGCCACTTCCTGTCTACATGCACTCATAGCCTTGGACCGGCCATCCAGATAGGCCTGGAGCAATGGAATGGAAAGGAATAAGTGTAAGGCCTACATGACAAGAGTGGGAAGGGGAAATAGGGGTAGGAAAGGGTTAAGAAAAGTGGAAAAGGGCTCAGAAGGAGGTCACTTAACGTATTGGTGGATAGGGGCTTCCGGGAGGGGCTTTGGAGGGAAGTCAGGAAGGAGGTGTCTCAGGAGTTCAGTTGGTGTCCGGCAGAAGAAGAGACAAACTTCCCAGCCACCCGCCCTTGTTATGGGTGCCGGGGTTGTTGCGTGGTTTGTCACAGCTGTGTTTGGCGGCTTGGCATCCTTGAGGGCATTGGTCTGTACTTGCATATCTTGACGGGGGGACCCATCGTTGGTATGGGTGTCCTTCTGTGGTGGTAAGGTCAACTGGTTATGACCGGGTAATAGGGACCAATGTGGGTCTGCGGGTAATTTTATTAAGTCCCCGAGGCGGTGTATGGCGGCTGGGGGCATTCAGGTATAAAATGTGCCCGCAGATACTGGTCGGTATATATATATATAGAGAGAGAGAGTTACGGTGCCCTCAAGGACCTTGAAACCAATTTGGTATACAGTATAGTTATTGGTTGTTTTGTTGTTATTATTTATAAATTTTATTTATAATGTTTTGTAATAAACGGCTGCTGTGGCCATTTAAACCCCACCCTTACCATGCCTGTAAAATGTGTGACAGCACCCCTGCTTTTAGTCTGCAGCAGGGGCGTGCCGTGCATGTGACAGGGTAAAAACATAGGAGCACAATTGGGAGGCAGTTGTCATGCTATAGCAGGAAGTACCTGAACAAGGCTTTCCTGGTGGGGTTACCAGGGATTGTTTTAATAAAGGTTCAGATTGAATTAAAAAAAAATTGAAAATGACTTTTGAAATAATAATCACCTGACTTATATACTTGTTGAGTGACTCACTGAGTAGCAAAGCAGCAGGTCAGCATACATGCCAACTGTCCCAGATTTGCCAGGATAGTTCCACATCTTGACTGTGTCCCAGGATCACATCATCAACCTTATTTGAGGTACTGCACAGGCGCAGTAACTCAAACAGCCTTTAATTGCAGGGATTGGGGCCACCACTTGGCGGTACCTGTTCTGGATCAGTGACTCACTAATTTGCAAAGCAGCAGATCACCATAAATGGCGACTGTCCCTGATTTGCCGACACAGTTCCTCATCTTGGTCCACTGTTCTGCCAATGATGTGTCCTTGGCCATGCCCTGGGGTTCACATCATCAACCGTATTTGAGTTACTGCACATGCGCAGTAACTCAAAAAGGCTTGAATTGCGGGGATTAGGATCATTACTGGGCAGTACCTGTTCTGGATCAATGACTCGCTAAGTAGCAAAGTGGCAGGTCAGCATACAAGCCATTTGTCTCAGATTGGCCAGGACAGTCCCTCCTCTTGGCCCTCTGTTTTTCCAATGCTGTGTCCTTAGCCATGGCCTGGGGATTACATTAGCAACCTTATCTCAGTCACTGCACGTGCACAGTAACTCAAAAAGGCTTTACTTCCAGGGATTGGGGCCACCACTGGGTGGTACCTCTACTGAATCAATGACTCACTATGTTGCAAAGCAGCAGGTCAACATACATACCAAGTGTCCAAGATTTGCCAGCAACTTTGGTGGGACCAACTTTGCAAAGTAGGTGTGATGGGTGGACCCAGCATATTTGGAGGTGGGGTCAATCTGTAAAGAAGGCATGATTTGGGTTTGCCTACCCGGAAAGTGGGTGGACAGAATTTAGACTGTCGGCAGGATTTAACAGTGTCCACAGATCGTGGAGAAGAATGTTGGTAATTATGGCTCACTGTCTCACCAGGTAGAGGATAAAAGTGAATAAAGGTCCTGCCAATGGTGTGTCCTCAGCCAAATTTGCCAGGACAGCCCCTCATCGTGGCCCTCCAATGATGTGTCCTTGGCCATGTCCCGGTATCACAGCATCAACCTTATTTGAAATGCTGCACATGCTCAGTAACTCAAAAAGGCTTTCATTGCGGGGATTTGGGCCATGGCTGCATATTTAGAGGTGGGGTTTGGGTTGGACTGACTTTGTTAGAGGTGGGGTCTGGGTGACATCAATCTATAAAGTAGGCATGATTTGGGTTCGCCCACCTGGAAAGTGGCTGACCAAAATGCGGACTGTGGTTAGGGTTAACAGTGTCCCAGGATCAGGGATAAGAATGTAAGTATGACTCACCAAGTAGAGGTTAAAGGTGAAGAAACTGGTACCTCTTAAAACAAGTCAGCAATGGCATGCCATTGTCACGATCTGGGATCAGGCTCAGAGTCCAGTAGCTGAAGCAGCAGGCAATTCGTAGTATAACAGGCCGAGTTTGGTACACAAGCAGATGGTAGTAGTGGAGGAGCAGGCAGAAGCGTAGTCAGCGAACAAGCCGAGGTCAGTAGCCAAAGGTATCAGGTATGAAGCAGAAGACAGTGAGAGTAGTCGGTGAATCAGCAGCCAAAGGTCGGTACACGGGTGGCAGTATGAGTAGATTGTATCACAGGAGGAGCAAGGAAGCAAGATAATGGCAGGAGCACAATAATCTCGCAAACTGGAAGTGCAGAGGCATGGCTTAAATAGGAAGTTCAAGGGAGGAGCAAGGGGTTCAGGGTTCAGCAGAAACACATTAGAGCAGGCAAGGAGCTATCCAAGGCTCCAGAGTGGCTCAGCAGGTAGAGCCACCGCCAGACACTGCAGAGGCCCTGGGTGCAGATCCGGATCCTCAGAGCCATATTTATATCCCGATATGAGAAATCAGACTTAGGCCATGTGTTCAAATACTATAGGGTTTTTAATCAACACACTTTTTAATCAAGCAGAGATCTGAGTTATAAGTCATATGTGTGCATATAAAATGAATTACATACTGATCTGCAGCCAAGGATCTGACCTACTCCATTCAGCAAACATGAGATGTAACGACAGGACATGAACCAACCGGCGATGCTAATTGCTGGTCCCCGAGAGAGGTGTCAGTGAGATGTTTCTCCTACTTACCTCACAGGAATAAAGGCTAATAAAGTGCCCGATTCCCTGAGCTTCCTGCACATTAAGGTCACAACGCGGGGTTATAGTAAGAGGCAGCATAAAAACAGTATGCTGCACGGCATGCCTTTATTACCTGCTATCTATAAGGGGATTTAAGGCAGCAAGGGATGGAGCTAGAGGTCAAAAAAAAAAAAACACCTTAAATGGCATTTTAGAGTATTTCATCAAACATAATTTTCCAGTAGCTCAATCACAAACTTAGTAATGTACATGATTTACCTGGAGGCACAGCTAGGAATTTTTAATGTATTTATTGTGTCCTTATGGGCAGACCACATGTGAAGACACGGCTCTGACTGTTTCGTGTTTTTATTGTGTCCTGGGGGCAGATTACATCTCAAGGCATGGCTGTGATTGATTTTTATATTTATTGTATTGATGT